TCCTGCTACATGAAAAACAAAGTCACAACATTTCACATTAAAGAAGCGACAAATAGATGTACAAGTATTCCTTTTTAAAGAAACTCTTCCGCAAAGGTAGGCAGCTGAACAATATGTAACTGCCCTCTTCGATTTATGATCACTTCCTTTATCCTGAAAGTAGTTAATTTAATACATAGATCTTTAACCATTAAAATACAATGGGCTGGTATAACTTAGCGTATGTTTTATTTGCATCTAAGTCATCAGCTTCAGGAAACAGAAAACGTGTGTTTACAAATGAGAGACTTCAAACAGTGTCTTGCTTATCAAGCCTCCTTAGTGTACTCTATGAGTAAACTGAAATTGTATACCTGAGTGGAGTTAGATAGTTGGTTTTTCCACGGCTCCTCTGCGCTGCTGGTCAGGTTTGTGCGGTTATGAGGTAGAGAGAGTGCGTTTTGCTGCAGGTAAGGCACGTTTCCATTACTTCCACTTTCTGTTATGTGATTATTGCCTATCAAAATAGTGTCTGTACTACCCAGCGTTCTTGCTGTGCTGCAGGGAATGGGGCCTGCTGGAAAGGGTCCATTAGCCATAGGCTGCCCGGGGCAGGCGGGACGGATTCCACGCTGAGCGACATTAGGCACTCTGGTTAGAGCAACCTGTGGCTGCTGACCAGAGACAGAGTTTGTAGGCAGTGATGAGTCAGCTGTTGGCCCATTAGGAATTCCAGTAGATCGTACCTGTGCAACTCCTGTTTGTCTCATCTAACGGAAGATGAACAAAGCACAAGAACATTAGCTGCAGAATTTAAAAAGCGAAGATCGTACAAGGTTTGTGTACTTTATTGCAGTGGTCAATTCCAACTTTATACTGATTTTAAGATCTTCACAGTTGCTTTTCAGAAAAAAGATGACTGCGATGCTCACAAATGTGCTGAGCGAGTTTTAAGGTAAAGCTATAAGCACACTTTTCTTCTAGGCTCTTCAGTTTGAGTGTTAGAATTTTACTGCTAAAGTTGGATACTAAGAGAGAGAGAAGTGAACAATGAGATGAGAGATATGCTGTAATATGGCTTACTACAACTAAGTATTTTTCAGGTAAGACTGCTTTTAGATGTGTCCACTCACTTTAGTCTGAAAGTGTGGCTTGAAAACTTTTATATTATCTGGAACCCTATAATAAAACACAGCTAAACCTGTTATCTTTCAACCAGTAAACCACAATTATACTTTATACAAAGAAAGATGACTTAATGTAACATAGTAAAGGGCATGAGAACTCTGTACAATAGGAATTCTTCAGAATTCAAGAAACACAACAGACACCATTACTGACAAAAGTTTTGTAAAAGAGAAAAATATTTTTGTTCTTACCTGCTGGTGTTGCTGCATCAAGACAAACTGACTCTCCAGCTGTTCCAGCATAAGTTTCTGTGCTGGACTTAGATTATTTCGGTTTGCACGCAGCTGTTCCAAGTGCTGAAAAAATAGCAGTACAGTTCAGAATCACTGAAGTTGCATGTGCTTTTAAATAACTTTCTTGCATACAGTATGAAAAATTATCCACAAGACTTGTTAAGCTAAAAACATGATTGAGACTTCTGTTACAGACTCAAACATCTTTCCATACACTATTCTGTAACCAAACCTTATCACTAGTTACAAAAACTGAAGAGACTTTCTAAATTATTTGAGTCTATAAGTATTATCACCACACTAAAATTAAGTGTACTGGTACTGCAAAAGAAAACTGCATTTAAGAATGATTATGGAGAATTCTTATTATGTATGCTTTAACAGTTTTTTTGTACTGGGCTGTTCTTTTATTAACACTGTTCAGCACGAAATAAATTCAACCTATAGTCACACATGAAAATGTCTCCAGAAAATATAAAAAAAAAAAAACCAGAAAAGTATACAACTTTAATTAGAGAGAGCAATGTCTTAAGTTACGATACTGAACTCATTTGCCACTGATAAATTTAAGTATCTATTACCAAAATCTGATCTTTGTATTTATTTTAAACGACTCAGCATGCACCATCATTCTACCAGTAAGTCTGGTGCTGTTAATGACATAAATGCTGAAATTGTGGAACACAGAAGCATTATCGGGGCGGGGGAGGGGAG